ATTTTCTTCTTCTTAAATTTGTCGTTCACATCGAACTTGCTCTTGCCGGTAAAAAACTCCAACCCCGGAATTTGCTTAAAATCGGCTTTTATATACGTTTCGTCGTCCATCACACAGCAGCCATATTTTGTCAGCATCTTCTCGTAGAGCTTCCGTGCCTGAGTTTTAACCGTCGATTGTTGCCGCTCATCGCGGTTTGGGAAGTTCTGTACCTTGTATGTATGTAGTCCAGCTCTCTTCTTTGCATTCTGGACGTAGCTCTGCGACATGCCGATCTTTTTAGCCAAATCACGGCTTGAGACGTTGGGATTTGCTTTAATCATCCGCTTCACCTTTCCCTCCGTCTTTTTGTTCTCCGGTCCCGGTTTTCTTCCAGCTCCTTTGCCATGGTCCAACGTCAACCGCTCCTGGAACCGCTTCAACACTCTGGAGACGGTTGAATGGTGAATGTTCAACATTTTTCCCAACTGCCGGTGCGACAGGTCAGGAAATTCCAGGTGTTTGGAAAGAATTTGTTCTCTCAACTCGCGTTGGTTCACCTCCATTTTCGTTGAATCGAAAACACGACTTCGAGTTTGACAGAATGTACACAATACACATCAATGAGAAAGTGTGCAAAATTTGGATGATTTTTACCCAATGGTAAAAAAGTTATACCCTGTTGAATGTGTCGCAATAATTTCGTGTTCGCCCTTTACTACACAAATACCTAAAAAGAATGTAATATTGATTGATGTAATGCATGCTACTGTATGAATAACTAATGTGATTGCAAAAACCAAATACAATATTACACCCATTGATATAATTTCTTTTCGCAAATTATGTGTAGGATAAATGCACCAATAGTGGAGGTACTTTTACATTGCACTAACGTGCATTTACTAAACATAAATTGTACAAATTAATATTAAACAACCTATGTGCATCTGTGCTGCTGTAATATTCAATAACTTTTTTGCTGTGCCGACTTATAAGTACCAACGCCCAAGTTTGAACAATCGAAAATAACATAAATCAAGAAGTACATAAAAGGGATTCCAGATGCAAATGCAAAATTGAACACTTTATTAATTTTCAATATGTCACACACTAAGTTTTTTTTCTACCGAGCTCGGCTGTGCAAATCTCGGCAAAAAAAGTTTTACTGAGATCTCAGCAAACATTTCATTTGTTTGCTGAGATTCAGCTAAGCATTATCCGATATTCAGCAATCAAATGTTTCTTTTGCTGAGATCTCAGTGAAACTTTTTTTTTCGAGATTTGCACAGCCGATTTCGGTAGAAAAAACTAAGTGTTCACTATGCCAGATGGTACCTATCTTTATGCCTTTAGATGCAAATTTTAAGCCCCTCCTATTAAGAGAATTATGGCATTCTTCTTCTTCTTCTTCTTCTTCTTCTTCTTCTTCTTACTAGATGCACTTCCACAGTTATTAATTGAGAGCTTTCGATGCCTGTACCATTTTTGCATTGGTATAATTGTGTGGCAAAGTCCAATCATACGTCTATGCCCAGGGAAGTCGAGAAATTTTCCAACCCGAAAAATTCCTAGACCGGACCAGGAATCGAACCCAGCCACCTCCAGCATGGTCTTGCTTTGTAGCTGCACCTTTACCGACTGAGCTAGAGGGAGAAATTCTCTTAATAGAAGGGTCTTAAAAGCATAAACCAAGGGGTGAGGCAGCTTTACTGTGAGTTCCGTTTTTGCTGCGAGTAGCTCGCGAGTAACTAAATGTACCTCAAAATTAAATCGACGCATCTTACTCCGTTTACCGTCTTCACATCGACAGTGAGCATGCATAAGGGCGTATACGAGATGATCAATTCTCTTCATCGACTTTCTCTTTGCATTGCTACAGCTAAGCGAATCAATTTTCTAGAATTTGTTCAGGGCAGTGTTGTAACAGGTTGTATTGTCTACCAAAAGCAACAGCAAACGTTAATTCTAGCGAGTTATTAACAGAAGCGGGATGTGCAGTCAAATCTGCCAACTGAAAATCCATCAATGAGATGTAAATGTGTAAGGTTCATTGAGTTTGTCATCTCTTTCGTTCTCCCGCTGTCTAAACGGTTGAAGGAGTGTGACGTTAAACTTCGTCATCCATTTTATCAGCCGGAGAACGAAAGAGACGACAAATTTACTGGGCCTCACCTGTTTACGCTCATTGATTTTCCCTAAGTGAATTTGGTTCCAAACATCAACAAACCATCGATGCTTATGGCTTTGATGTCGTTTGGAACCAGTTAGGCGAGGTAGGCAACGATTTTTCGTATTGGCTAGCCACCTCAGGTTATTAACAAAAGAGAAAATCGACGAAGAGAATCGATCATCCAGTTTACGCCCTTATGCATGATCACTGTCGATATATTATGCGTTAGCAGCGTTGCTAGGTTGTCAGATTTATCTGGCACATCTAGAGAAATTTAAGCTCTACCAGACAGATTTCTGAGAAATCTGGCAGCTTCCTATGTTAATTTGCTGTGCCAGATTTTTGCCAGACTTTTTTTTTCGTGTTTCGTCAGATTTTTTTCAAAATAAGCCTGGCATCTCTGGGTGTTAGTCTTGTTTGTAAACAAAATAAAATTCTCGCATCACTTTTCAATAGGCCCTTTCTGCATTGATCGATTCTCTTCATTGACTTTCTCTTTGGATCATCACGGCCGTGTTAAGATATTTCCGGATATTTTGGACACCCAGATCGATGGGAAGACGCAACAATCTAGATTCCAGACAAAGACAACAGGCAATATTTTTGTAGCCGAGTTATTTACGAAAGTGAGAGTCGATGAAGAGAATTGAGAATTGAGAGAATGTAGATTGGTCTATTAGACATCGAAGTAGGTAACCTGAATGACACGATGGGATCGGGATGGTCAGCATCTAGACTGATCAGTGGCCGGTAATGCGAAATCATTTGCCAGGACAATATCTAGCAAACGTCCATTTCGATTGTTTACTTGACTAAACCCGTGTAAGTTAAATCCGTCCAAAAGAGTACAGCAAGCCACCGGCATATGCAAGCGCCACTGTAAACCAGCTTGGTTGTAGTCGCCAAATAGTAGTGCGGGAGAGCGGGGACTCAATCGAGACCTAACGATGATGCAGTCGGCAAGTAGACAGCGCCAATACTATGAATGTTTTGTGGAAATTCCACGATAATCCAAAGCTGTTCCAGCAGACAGGAAATGGGCGATCTACTTAGATAGCTGGTTAGTCTAGTTGAGACAGCAGTCAGAGCGCCTCCACCGCGCGATCTTTGACTTTGCAGGGGAGATCGGTCACTTGAAGACGGAATAAAGTGATCCGAAGTTGCGATGCATAGATGCGGTCATTCAGTCCCGTTTCCGTCAGTACGATTAAATCATAATCAACCTCCGCAACAGCTAAGAAAAACGAGTCTATTTTAGTCCGCAGCCCACGCACGTTTTGATTTTTTTTTTAAATCGTAGGCCATTCGAAGAGCGATCCTGGGAGCTAGAAACCCAAGGAAATTTAGGACCGAGTGTTCAGAATCGCAACCATACTCGCCTGGAGTTGTAGGCCGGAAGTCCCCGATTTTTGTTGCTGTTTTGCTCGACAGCAGCTTTTCGGCTTATGAAGCGAAAAGTGAGAAAGGAAATGACAGTGATCTTGCTCACTGAGCAATGTGAGTTACTCGAGGTGCCTCAAAAGCAACTATGAAATTGCTCATGATTAGGAGCTGTCTTGCCCCTTGGCATAAACGTAGGTACCGTCCGGTATGCTCAGATTCTGTGATTGATGTGTTTTCCTTAATACATATTTCATGTTTACACCGCTATCATCTCCAAGAACATCAAGGAAAAATTTCCACAGCATTGTTCTACACTGGCTTCCAAGCTTCCAACCCATCGGTCCTTTTCAGACATCGACAAAGCACCTCAAAAACAGAACACTCAAATTGCTTCCGAATTTCAACGATCGAACTTTTTCACTGATAACGAGTTAAGAAATCAATTTAATATTTACTATACTTTTGCAGTGACGTCAAAACTCCCTTTCGTAATCTTTCGTCAAATCTACGGTCGTGTCTTGGATACAACCTCTTACTTTTTTTTTTAGAGCGGCGCATAAACTTAAGCTTATATTGAATCCCGAGCAAGGCCAGGCACACTTAGCTAGTATTTAATAATAATAATAATATTAGATGTCCAGATTAAGTAACCTTGTGGTATTCGATGCTTTACGGTACACAATTAAATATAAATATGAAGCTATGAATTTAATTTTAACATCAATCTTGTCCTAATCCATCGTAGTTTACCATTCTATATGTGGATTATGGAACTGATTCTGGACATAACTCGCATTATCACTAGCAACCCAGCGTGAGATACCGTAATGCTCCGAATTTAGAATATTCTAGTTAATCCGAACATGTAGTTTTTAATTAATTATTTCGTTTTCTTTGCAACATAATAAAAAATGTGAGATCATTTTGAACGATGACATAAGGTCGCGTTAAATTTTACGTGCTATTTAGAGCACGGGTAGGCGTCGATAATCTACTTTAAAAAATGTCCGGATTTATAGACTAAATGTCGGTGCATTACGATTACCATTTCTCCAATCCACAACTTTCACCGTTAGATTCACTTTCTTCGTCTCCGTCCAAGCGGGTTCCGAACAGTGCACTGCATTTCCATTCCACAGGGAATTTCTATCGAACGACGATCGGTGCATCTGTTCTTGACCGATAAAAATTCCAATCTTCTATTCTCTCTATCCAACCGTTATTTCCGAGGAACCAGTTTTTTTTTTCGAAGGCAAATCTCATAAATAGCCTCGCCTTAGATTCGCTGCAACCCAGTGCATCTTCTACCCTGCACCGAAGCCCAGCTAGAATTCTACCAATATGGTTCCGCTAAGACTTGTAGCTTTGATTTGTCTGCTGACTTTGGAAAGTGTACTAAGTTTCAAATTACAAACCTTGACTGAGTACGATAATAATCGCGAATTGAAAAACGATTCCGTGGCAGATGAACATCCGTCTGAAAGGTAATTATGGAAATCAGTGTTCAGAAAAGAAGTAGCGTTTGATTATCCACTTCTTTAGCTGCCCTCGGACGCCAGGCGAATTGGTTGATTATTTGCTGAGCAAGAAAGCAATTCAAACTGTAATTTTCGTGAACGGAAGTGTGACCATCAATTCCGGTGTGGAAGGTGGAACTGAATCCGAAACTGGAGACGCGCCATGTTCGACAGCAGCTACGATCTCGTCCTGTTTGGGTGTAACATTGAGTGGAGTGTACCAACTCAGTGTCGGCAATCTGATCCAATGCGTCTACTGTGAGTGCAGTCCGCCGTTCCCAACGCGCGTTCCAACTGGGGAATGCTGGCTACAGGTACAGCGAAATGATGGCTCCGATAAGGCACCTCAAAAGGATTTCTACCTTCGGACTTGGACGGAATACCAGAACGGATTCGGTTCACCCGATGGCGATCACTGGCTTGGATTGGACGCCTTGCATTTGGTAAAGTTGTTTGATGTTAGCGTCTAGACCTAACCTCAATGTTGCGAACAATTCCAGATTACCGCCAATGGACCGGAGATGCGTATGTTGTATGAAGTGGGATTTGTTGATGAACTGATTGTTCCTGCATTCCAAATCGATAATGCGCAAAACCTCTACCGTGTAATGCAGCCTACCAGCGATGTATCCAGCGACCTGCAGGTCATTGCATACAATGCACCCTTCAGCACCATCGATGAAGATAACCTGAACAATCCCTTCGGACAACCGTCGGAGTTCTACGGCGGCTATTGGTACGGGTCTCCGAGCACTATTCTCAACATCAACAACGAGCCTCTCACCTCCCGACGAATCAAAAGGATGTACATCAAATTTTGAACGGAAAAAAATATACGCATCACACTTATTCTAACTGTAACCTTACGTCACACCTACAGCATTTATTGTCTTCAACATCAATAAAAACATAAAGACGAAGAATCGCATGCTCCCTCCATGCTGAACGTCACTTAAAAATCCTACAAACCTTACAATCTAAGTACGTTTCTGAGTTTCCCTGTCTGCCAATCTTTGGTCCTAGATGTCCTAGAGATTCACCATGTTCGGATTAATAGGTCGCGTTCCGATCAGCTTTTCACCTGGTGACGCTTGTTGAAATTCTTCTCGGCTATGGCAGCCAGCTGAGCTGCCGTCGCATCACCCGTCTGGGCGACCAGCTTCCGTAGGAAACCCTTCGGCTGTTTGAGCAGTTCGTGCGGATGGCCAAACTCCACTGCTCGACCGGCATCCATTACCAGCACCCGATCGCTATCCATGACCGTGTGCAGCCGATGAGCAATCGTCAGCACGGTACACTCACCGAATTGGTCCCGAATTGTGCGCTGGACCAGTTTGTCCGTCCTAAAAAAAAAATAACAACACTTCAGTTAGCGTCGCAGTTATTGCTTATCACCAACTCACTCTGGATCCACGTTGGCGGTTGCTTCGTCCAAAATCAGGATCTTGTTGTTCCTCAAGATCGCCCTCGCCAAGCAAACCAGCTGCCTCTGACCCATGCTAAAATTTGATCCGCCATCCGACATCTTCGCATCGAGTCCTCCGTCCATCCGCTGAACCACGTCCTTCAGTTCCACCAGCTCCAACGATCGCCACATCTCCCCGTCCGCATGCTGCCCAAACGGATCCAGATTGTCCCGCACTTTACCGGAGAACAGAATCGGATCCTGCGGAATGATCGAAATCTTCTTCCGAAGATCGTGCAGCCCCAAGCCACCGATGTCCACCTCGTCCACCTTAATCAGCCCCTCGTTAACGGCCAACCGGAACAGAGCCTGTATGATCGACGACTTACCCGCTCCCGTTCGCCCGACGATTCCGACCTTTTCCCGCGCCTCGATCACCAAATGCAGATCCTTCAGCACCAGATCGCTGTCCTGGGAATATCTCAGCGAGAAGTACTCGAACTCGATCGACCCTTTCGAAGGCCAATCGGCAGCCGGTTTCTTCTGGGGGTCAACGGTTTCCAGCGGTGGCTCCGATTCGACTTCGGCGTACTCGACCACCCGTTCGACCGAAGTCATCTGGTTCTCCAGCTCGGCCGTCTGACGCATGCCCCACTGGCACATGAAGATCAGGTTGAACACCTGGGTAATGGCCAGACCGACGTTGCCGCTCATTGCTAGGGGGGAAGAAGTGGGGATGTTTAGATTGTATTTGCATTTACGGTACGTGATTTTTTAATTCATGGTCATTATTTCAATATTCAGTTTATTGTTGTTTTACATTTCTTGATTTATTACTGTCTCTTGTCTTTTATTTTGTTTTTGTTTTGATTCATTTTCTGCCTTTGTTTTTTTGAGACTTCTGAATTTAAGGTATTTACTGCTGATTTTCATACATTCCCATTTTTTGTTTGTTGGTTTAACAGCTTTATTTTTATTTTATTTTTTCTTTTTACAGTTATATGTTTATCATTTTGTTTTTGAATTTCTCACAGCATTTATTTGCTGAGTATGGCTTTTCTTAAATTCTATTTTTGTAATGTGATGTAAATGTAAATTTACATTTTAACACATAATAAACTTCACATTCAAGGATCTTAGCCGTGCTGAAACGAAATTCACCCTAGTCTTAGATACAGTAGTGTTCATTCCTGGAATGTCCGTAGTTCCTATCATTTTGAGGTTAGTACCAACCGGTGGAAACTAACGATTTATTTGGCTTACTACTTGACTAGCCTATTGGTCCCAAGCAAATCGATTAACTTTCCCCATTCTAGTCAAAATTCTAGTACTACACAATGTTTGTTTTGATTAGCTATGAAAGTTTGCCAGATCAAATGAGGGGTTCGTGGATTTTCCTATGTTTCGAGAAGTTGCATCGATTAGCTTGGGACCGAAGATAGTACCAGCGCTGAGCACGTTTCTTCGGGACCTACTAGTCTTAGAGTTACCTCTATGGTAGTACTCTGATAACCCTAGCAACATTGCATGTTTTTTTTTTTTTTAGGTTTTATATCATACTACAAGTCTAAATCATGATCTACAGAACCATCATAAAACCCAAATTGTTACTTGGGTAAGCACTCTTCCAAGGGAATCAGATTTTGAACGGTGTGGCTTGGAGATCATTCTTTGGGTTTTCGACCACATTGATTACTGGGAAACATTCTAAAAATTTACGACTACGTTGACCACTCCAGGATCCAGGTTACTCCATGGGAAGTGGCCAGATTTAGGTCAGTTCCAAAACCTGGCTTACGGCATATCAAACTTTATGATTTTGCAAATCAAGATCATTGAGGGACATTTTGAGGGGTTTCGACCACATTGGCCACTCCTGGTGGCGTTTCGGGATCTAGATTCGTCCAGCGGTAGTGATCAGATTTTGAACGGTTCCAGGTTGCTAAGTTTGCAAGCAACATATCAACACATCAATCTTCATAATTTTGCAAAACCAGATTATTGGGGATCCTTCTAAAAGTTTTTGACCACATTGCATACTGCAGGTAGCGTTCCGGGATCCATGTTCCTCCAACTTCATGATTTTGCAAAACAAGATCACTGGGGAACATTCTGAGAATTTTCGACCATGTTGACCATTTCAATTGGTGTTCCGGGATCCAGGTTTCTCCAGCGGAAGTGGCCAGACATAGGTCAGTACCAAAACCTGTCTCGCGACATATCAAACTTCATGATTATGCAAAACAAGATGACATTCTGAGAATTTTTGACCGCATTACTGGTGGAGTTCCGGGATCCAGGTTCCTCCAGCGGAAGTGATCAGATTTTGAATGGTTCCAAAACCTGGCATGCGACACATCAAATTTCATGATTTTGCAATACAACATCATTGGGAATCATTCTTAAGGTTTTGACCACATTGATTGTAGGACATGTTCCGAGATACGGACTCCTCCAGGGGAAGTGGCCAGATTTAGGTCTGTACCAAAACCTGGCTTGCGACATATCAATCTTCATGATTTTCAAAAACAAGATCATTGGGGAACATTCTGAGAATTTTCGACCACGTTGGCCCTTTCAAGGGGGGTTCCGGGATCCTGGTTCCTCTAGGGAAAATGGACAGATTTAGGACAGTACTAAAACTTGGTTTGTGACATATCAAACTATATGATTATGCAAAACAAGATCATTGACATTCTGATAGTTTTTGACCACATTGCTGGTGGAGTTCCGAGATACGGGTTCCTCCAGGAGAAGTTTCCAGATTTAGGTCAGTACCAAAACCTGGCTTGCGACATATCAAACTTCATGATTTTTGAAATCAAGATAATTGAGGGAAATTTTGAAGATTTTCAACCACATTAACCACTCCAGGTTGTGTTCCAGGATTCAAGTTCCTCCAGCGGAAGTGATCAGATTTTGAATGGTTCCAAAACATGGTATGCGACATATCGAATTTCATGATTTTGCAATACAAGATCATTGGGAATCTTTCTTAAGGTTTTGACCACATTGTAGGACATGTTCCGCGATACGGACTCCTCCAGGGGAAGTGGCCAGATTTAGGTCTGTACCAAAACCTGGCTTGCGACATATCAAACTTTATGATTTTCAAAAACAAGATCATTGGGGAACATTCTGAGAATTTTCGACCACGTTGGCCCTTCCAAGTGGTGTTCCGGGATCCTGGTTCCTCCAGGGGAAGTGTCCAGACATAGGTCAGTACCAAAACCTGGCTTGCGACATATCAAACTTCATGATTTTGCAAAACAAGATCATTGAGGGGTTTTGAGCATATTGGCCACTACAGGTGGTATACGGGGTTCGTCCTAGGGAAGTGGCCAATTTTAGATCAGTACTTATACCTGGCATGTGGCATTTCTTTTGTATAATTTTGGATCTCAAAGATTCATGATGAACTGTACTGAAAAAGTCTATTTTTTCCCCTGCTTGATGTTCTGGATTATCATAGTAGGATTTCTGATGTTCTGTTATTTTTTTTGCTTCTTATTTTCTTCAGCTTGTTGCTGAGCAGTTCCACGCCAACTGACGAATCGATTATCCGAATTCCATGAGACTTTGCTTTCCATGAAAAAATGTTCACTAGAAGCAATGAACCAAGATTTTGACGGAATTCGGCCATTATGACTCATGCCTAATTTTTCAAAATGGCTTATTCTTATTTTTCGATAGATCATAGCTCGAAAACGGCTCATGGTATTAATGGTTGACATTCAATGATTTTGGTGAATTTTAAAGTGTCCAATTTAGAAAAGTTAGCATTTTTTATAAGATTTCAAATTAAAAAATCATGTACTTTTTTGTAATCAATGTTTTTATCAGGTTTTTTTTTTTAATTTTTCGACTAAAATTTGTGATTTTTATTTCAGTGTGTATTTTTTATAAAAATGGTATACTGTAGCATCAATTTTTTCTCAGGAACCATTTAGATTAGATGAACCCATTTTCGTGCTATGATTTATTGAAAAATATCGAATACGTCATTTTGAAAAATTGGGTGATAGTCAGAATGGCTGAATTCCAGTGCAAACTCGGTTCAATGCTTCTATCAAACAATTGTGCGAAGTTTCATGGAATACTGCAAGGAAAAATCTAAAATTTTGTTTATTTTTAACTATTTAGCTTCTCTGCATTTTTCTTTTAGATTTTTTTTATCAAACATTATTTGTCTCTGTTATCAATCGAAATGGAGGTCGTCTATTTTTATTCCTTTTACACTTAAACTCTTTACTGTTCTTCTTTCTTATTTAGACGTGTTTGTTTCGTGTTTTGAATTGATTTTCTTCCTTACTTTTTTAACTTTTTAGCAATGGTCGTTCTTATTTGTAATTTTCATATTTTATTTATTTTTCGTTTGTAGATTCAAGATTCAAACTTTTATGAATTTTATCTTATTTGGATTGTATTTTTTAACAGGCGATAATTTTTACGTAATTCATCGCTTTTCTTTTGTGTTTTGTTATTTGAAAGTTATGATTTTATGTTTCAAATCTTCCTTTGTCCTTTTCTTTTCTTTTTTCTTCTCTCTCTCTTATTGTCTGCTTTTCCCTTTTCATTATATTTTTCGTGTTTGCCTTATAATTATTTAGGTTATTCTAATGTATGTTTTTTCATACTGTTTTCATTTTGCGTTTTTAGATTTATTTTACTTTAATTTTCACACACTTTTCACTCTTAAATTTTGCTTTTTTTACTATACAGTGCCTCTAGAAGACGCGCTTCTGCAGCCTCTAGATGAGGTGTTTCTGCAGTCTCTAGAAGAGGTGCATCTGCAGCCTTTAGAAGAGGCACTTCTGCAGCCTCTAAAAAATGTGCTTTTGAAACCTCTAAAAGAGCCGCTTCTGCAGCATCTAGAAGAGGCGCTTCTGCAGCCTCTAGAAGAGGCGCTTCTGCAGCCTCTAGAAGAGGTGCTTCTGCAGCCTCTAGAAGAGGCGCTTCTGCAGCCTCTAGAAGAGGCGTTTCTGTATCCTCTAAAAGAGTCGCTTCTGCAACCTCTAAAAGAGCCGCTTCTGCAGCCTCTAGAAGACGTGTTTCTGCAACCTCTGGAAGAGGTGATTCTGCAACCTCTTGAAGAGGCGCTTCTGCAGCCTAAAGAAGAGGCAATTCTGCAGCCTATAGAAGAGGCGCTTCTGCAGCCTCTGAAAGAGGTGCTTCTGCAAAAGGTGCTTCTGGAACCTCTAAACGAGCCGCTTCAGCAGTCTCTAGAAGATGCGCTTCTGGTACCTGGTACGTCCCACAACACCCTGCTACACCAGAAACGTACCGCTCCTAGGCGTCAGGATTATTAATACCATCATGGAAGCTTGGCAGCAGGAATAGTTCCAGTCGCGGACCACTTCCCTGACGACCCAGGCTGGACCAGCGGATCATTTCAAGACTCCGGACTGGTCATGTGAGGATTTCCTGCAATTTCGGTGGGACAGCTTTCCGCAAGGTTTGTCCAATTTGCAGCATCCCAGCCTCGGTGGAACACGTACTGTGTGCCTGCCCATAGTTCCAGAGGATACGCAAGCAACACGGACTCCCGGAAAACGTCAGGAATCTACTTGGTAACGACCCCTCGCTGACCGTGTTCTCTTCACCTTTCTATTTTTTTTTTTTTTTGCCGTCGGGGTATCTCTGCCGGACGGGGGAACTGTCTCCGACGGTGGATCTCCACCTTGTTCGGACACCCATTCCTCACTACAGTTCCGTT